CCCCCCCCCCCAAACTCGTACACAACACACAGAGAGGGTCCAGGATATGCGCAGGACACCACAGCAGCCTTTTCTGCGTGTTTTCTGCACAGAGATGCATGTGATATATATCTTCACTGTGTATATGTCCACATGGTTGCAACAGGCAGACACTGAGGGAGGAGAGAGCAAAACACAGAGAGAGTGACAGGAAGGGAGTGAGGGAGGAAGAGAGGTAGAGGCAGAATCAGACTGAAACAGGAAAAAGGAGGGGGGGTGGGGGGGAGCTTTATATGTTGGTTTCATGTTTATGGTGCAGAAAAATGTTTCCCTTTTGATTTTTTCCCCCTCCAAGTAAAGTCAAAAGATAGATTGTGGTGAACTTGTCTGCAGCTGCAGCCAGCAGCTCTGAGCAGACCAGTGAGCAGACCAGTGCATATTCTGCTGGGCAGACTGGAGGCGACCCGGGTAAGTTTCTTTCTTTCTCTCCCTCTTTATGCTGCTGATTATGATGCTGCTGATTGATTGGTTCGAGGCTGTGGATTATCACGAGCGCGCTCGTCACCAGGTACCTGATGATGAGAGGAGGGCGAGGGGAGGGGTGGGGGAGGAGAGGTGGGGGCTGGAATTAGATGAGCATGGCCGGCGCTCGCATCACCCACAACTCACTAACTCTCCTTCTGATTTCTGTCGACTCTGCCGTTGCACATTTGTACACAGCTTGTGCAAACAAAACAAACAAACAAACAAAAAATTGATTTTGTGCATTTGTGTGTATTTGTGTATCATCTCCATGCGCACGTGCGTTCCCAGCCGGCACATGTTGCCAGCCCTCTCCCTCAGTCGAACCGGCGTGTGCTGATGAGGCCACGGGGAGGGGTTTGCTGATAAAGGAGAAAGCCAGAGGGGCCTTTTTTGGTAAATATGCAGATGAGGGGCATGTATAAATGGGAGGGGGCTTGACGTGAACGCGTGCCACACGCTTTTACTGTTTATGTGTTCTCCGTGGGGATCCTGATCCTCAACAGATGCCAGCGTTTGGTCTGATCTTGCCACTGCTTTGTTTAGGGCATCCTCTGACAAAGAAATAGACAAGCCAAGATAAGACATGGGGAGGGAAAGAGTGAACAGACAGAAGAAGAAGAAAAAAATACAGTTAAAGAATGAATTTGTTGGAAAATTGCAAAACTGCTCCGGGGCATATTTTCACCCCAATGACAAGCCGTGATGATTGCTGTTTTGCCCCATCCCTCCCCCCTTTTACCTCCCCAGACGTTTTTCTAATTCATTTGCATGTCAAAGCAGTGGAGGCCACTGCACAGATTAGTATGAGATGACATAATGATGTAATGAATTAAATGCTCCTGTTTAAGCTCTGCACTTTGCTCTGCAAGGAGGCAGGACAGTGAGCTAAGGAGGAATTGAGGGGGGGGGGGGGGGGGGGCTCTGTTGTGTGTTTTCTGTAAATACATTTTAAATATGTGATCGCTCCTATTTGATAAAACTAATTAATTATGTGAATGCTTTTTCTTTTGGTTTGCCACATTGTTGCCACTTTTGAAATTTTGCCTTTTAACACAATTTAATGTTCATTTTTATTCTTTGTTGAACTGATCTGTTCAAAAGTCAACGTTTGCAATTATTGTGATAAATAAGGAATCTTATTTGACGTTGCAGCTACTTACTCTAATTGTCATAATAATCTAGTTGTCACATTTTTGCTGTTAGTGACACCATTTTTGTGCTAATTGGAAAGAAGAAAAGATCAATTAAATATCTGATGTAAAACAAATTTTTCTAATTTCCTCTCTTTGTGAGTAAAATAAAAAAAAATCATATTTTTGCTTGGTAAAGGTGATTTCATGTGTTTGAAGCTAAATATTTTATTAGCAAAGCATTTAACAGTTTATTCTTGGGTTTGTTAAAAGTAAAATATGTATGTGATGATATACATTTTATGCAGTTGTGTTTAAACGAGGCTGAGAACGTTAAAAATGCGACACCTGGGCCAGAAACACCTGCTGTGACACAAGCTGGAGTTTTTTATTCACCGTCAGCCTCTCATCATGTTGCAGACATGTATGTTCTTTTACATTTCACTCCTCGCACTGCTTTCTTTTTCTGCACTGATGTGCAGATTCAGTTTAGATTTTTTTTTGTCTCTTGCACAACTTATAAAGAACTGACTTTAAAATCAACGCTCGATGAAGACGTCATGATGCATATAATGGTGATTGAATTGACAGATTTAGTTACAGAAACAAGTCATTCTGAGTTAATAGCGTTACAATTTGACGACAGAATTTGAAACTCAAGCTGAGCAGAAGCATTTAAACTCTCATCGTTTATTTAAGATTACCAGTAAACTTTTTTAAAATTAAAATAGATCCTGTCCCTTGTTTGCTGCTGGAGCCATGTCCAGGCGGGTGTGGCTGTGTGGAGTCAGCTGGCTGGTGCAGAGGGTAATGAGTATGCACCGTGACAGCTGGGATAAAGTGTATGGATGTGTTTGGTGGGAGTAATCAGCTGCAGACCATGGGGTGCACGAGGGTGATGTGAGGCTTTATGACTGCTGCACACACACACACACACACACATCGAGGTCCATTGGGACTTCATGCTTCGCCTCACCCCTGTACTGGACATAACCCGAGCTTCTCAGCTTGTTTCTTCTTTTTGGCTTCAGTAGAATAAATTTGTCAGTATATCCAGTGCTTTTATCAATATTATGTTTTTTTATTTTTTTTATTCAACATCCATGATTCAAATATTCAAAAAGTGTTAGAAGAAAAATAAGAGCCACATGATTACATTTTAAATTGTATTTAACTACGATACAAATAAATAAAGCTGCATTTTCTGAACGGAGATAAACCATTTAGTTTGTTAAACATCCCTCACTGCAAAACGTTGAACGTGTTCTTTTAAATAAACAAATGCTTTTCCAATATTGCAGAAGAAAATGAAAAAATGTGGCATCATACATTTCTCTTGGTGGTGCTGTGTAATTGCATTACTGAACAGATTTTCTTTGTTCCAAACCACATCTCCATTCAGGTTTTCAGAGCCTGTGGCTGCAGTACTTTACAAATAATTGACATAAACTGGGCCCTCCTGGCCAGTGAAATTGAACACACTAATAAATGCATAAAGGGAAAAATAAATATTGATCACCTGGTACATGAGAATAACGTAGCTTGGATTTGATTTCCATAGTTTGTGGGTTATTTGTTGCATGTGATTGAGGGGTGGGCACACTTGTCTGCAAATATTCAGCACAAAAAAAGTTACTTGACAGAGGAGACAAAACAAAGAATGGTTTAGCTTTGACTTTTAATAACTCTTCTGAATGTGCATCTCTGTGTGTATGTGTTAAATGAATGTTTGATAGGATTGCACGTGCTGGAGTTGGAGCCCTTGACTTGAACTCTTTGCCCCATCGTCTCTCGTCTTCAAGTTTGTTTTCTTTTCTACAACGAGGAGAATAGGTGGGAAAGAGGATTATTGGTATTGATCTACCCCGGAGGATCATTAGGCATCACTATCAATTCACAGCTCCGACCACACAGCTTGAGCCCGCACAGACATTGCCAATTTGTCCCTATTAGAGAATGCAGTTTCAGAGTGTCTGATGTAAGAGGCTGATCAGGCCGCACCGCAGAGCAGCCCTCCAGGGCCTGCTTTGGGCCTGACCTCTTGCTTTATTTCCAAATTTACAGAATACTCAACTCAGGAAAAAGTTTTTTTTTTTTTTAACACCCTTTTTTATTTTTTGCATTGAATAATCTATTTGAAACTATGTTTAGAGCAACAAAGAAATTCAGATGTTTTTAGATCCTCTGCACACATTCCACTTCCTGTCATTGTCTTCCTCTACATTCCCATATTTACTGATGAGTAATTGGCACTGTAATACTTCAGTGAGGCTTAGCCATCCTGGCCCACTTATCTATGTAAGCTGGCTGTTCTAGACACTAAAGCTGTGAGATCCGTTGTCACTGACTTTAACCCTCTGCTGGGTTCAGGTGTGCGGGGAACTGCACCGCTCACTGCTTCTGCACACCATGATGGGTGGTAGATGCCAGCAGGCAGCAGTTGTTCGGTTAACACACGTGTGTAGTCCATTTAGGATTACGTTTTCGTTTTATTTTCAGCTGCTGCCTTCCTTCAGGTGTTCCCACAGTGACGCAACTCACGTGGAAGATCTGGCAATTGTTTTACGCCAGATGCCCTTCCTGATGCAACCTGGGCTCAAACCTGCGTCCCCAGGATCGCTGACCACTGAGCTACCGGAGCTCCTCCTTCAATAGTTTATATTCATTGAAGATAGATTACACACCCCCACGTTTTGTATGTTATGCAAGTATGACAAAATTTGTTAATAAGTTAGCATTCAACATTTAAAAACTTGTCTTGCTCAAGGTGTTTGTGCTGTATTTACACAGGTTAAACAGTTTGGAACAAAAAACTGGTGTTTTTATTGTCACCAACGATCATTTTTACATGTTAATGTTGACGTTTGTTTCAGTGTACTGTATTTTTCGACGTATAAGTCACTCCTGAGTATATGTTGCATCAATCAAAATAAGCATCATGAAGAGGAAAAAAACGTAAATAAGTCACTTCGGCGTATAAGTCACATTTATTATGCGTTTATTTAATGGTCAAAATAGATTGATTTTGCCTTGGTGGCACATCCATCCATCCATCCATCCATCCATCCATCCATCCATCCATCCATCCATCCATCCATCCATCCATCCATCCATCCATCCATCCATCCATCCATCCATCCATCCATCCATCCATC